GACCACTGAGGGACAGCAGTTTCTTGCTCTTGGATCAGGACTGGGTTGGGGTCACAACGCAGAGTACTAACCACTGTACCACCACGGCCTGGGTTGGGGTCAAAGATCTTGACAGGGAGGTTCTTGGCTGCCCTTAACTCTCAGCTGCCAGGAAACAGGACATGGGTGTGCAGGTTGCACTTGGGAACCAAACCGGTGCTCCCCTCTCCAGAGAGACCTGAAACAGAACACGGCGGGGTGGGCCATTCCGGGCGATGCTGGCTCGTTCTCCACTCAGAGGTCTGCTCACAGTTCCATCAGAAGCTGCCATCCCCCACAGCCTAGTTCCGTTAGGGGTCTGGGCTGTGAACACCCACGTGAAGTCCATACTTGCCCAGCCTCCTAGAACATCTTTAGGGTGCTCTCTCCTGCCAGAAAACTCAGGCACTGCCCCCAGACTCACACACCCACTCAGGTTCCACTCAGCCTGGACAGGCTCCTTCTGCCGGTATTTCAGACAACACATCTCTTTATGATAAGTATTTGCAATGCCCTGGTAACTATGTTGAAATGTGTAACATGTTTAGCAAACATGATCCTAACCTTTGTGACAACCAAAAAAAGTTTCCACAAAGTTCTAAGATGCTCCCTAGGAAGCTGTACAGCCCCGGGGTGAGAACCACCACTTCAATGGTGGGCACATACTGACATGATGCTTCCATGATAATCTCAGGATAAGGACCATATCCTCAAGATGATCTGGCAGATCTTGGAGGGGAGGTCTAATCTTTGCCTGTTTCCCCAGACTCATCCACACCTCTCCCAGCCTTGTTCCCTCCCCTCCAACCACTGTCAATACTCCTTCCTCTGGTCTCAGAGCCACTGTCTGTGCTCTTCCTTCTGGTAACACTGTTCCCTCATCCTTCACATATCCCTTTCTCGCCTCCCAGACAGGGCAGACCCCCTAGCTACTTCTCTATGGTACTGTGGCCCTCTCTTTCCCAGGTTTTGTCCCAGTTTATAATTTTATATGTATAGTCATTTGACTAACGTTTACTTTCCCTATTAGAGCATAAGAACAGGGGCTGAACCATCTAGTTTATCCTTCTTTCCGCACTGCGTCGCATAAAAGAGGTGCTCCATATTTACTCAGTAAATAAAGGAACCTTCTGGAACACACTTAGACTTCCATCTTTACTGCTTATGACACTACATGCTGATTCCCCTTCGATGTGATGCTTCTGCAGAAGTCACAGCCTCTGCCGAAAGGATCTGTCTTGCTAACGGCTGTGTTGTGCTCCCCACGGCCCGCTGGGACGGCGCCAGGAACAGAGCGGACGCTCAGCGAGCCTACCTTGGCTAAGTGGAACCCGAGTGGGCGTGTGAGTCTGGGGGCAGTGCTTGAGTTTTCTGGCAGGAGAGCGCATCCCAAAGACCCTTCTAACTGTCGGGATGGGAAGGTTAAGGACTGCTCACAATTAGTTCCCGTCTTGCTCCCTCTCTTTCCTTCGACCACCCCCAGCACATCCCTCACCTCCAACTTAACATGCATACTGAGTGAAGGTCCCTTAAAGGGCACCCCCAACCCGACACACCCTACCCATCTCTCCAGAGTCAACTCAGATGTCACCTTCCTCTTCCCTCCGTCCTTCCTGCCTTATGTGGGCGACCACAGAGCTTTCATCTCCCCGACCAGGCAGCCAGGGGACTTGTCTGTGTCCACAGTAGAACCACACACTTCTAGAGGGCAAGGGCTTTGTCACAGCCAACTGTTTCTGCAGAAACAGAGGGGAACATGGCACTCCTAAACGTCTGCCGAACAAGCAAACTGATGAGGTGGGGTGGTGGAGCCTGGGCAAGGGCCTCTGGAGCCCTGCAGAGCCCAGGGCAGCATCTCCTACTCAGGTCCCTTGGGTGATGCCCGGAGACCTGGCTCTTCAGCTCAGACTCTGTGAGCTTCCAGAAGGTCACTCCTTCCTCGAGCAGTGGACTTGGGGGGACACCCCCGGGGCGATTCCGGAAGTGGAGCTTCGGCCCTCCCACACCCAGCTGCTTCATGCAGAGTATTTCCCCCCTCTCGCCCCGCCCTCAACTCTTCCTCTATTTCTTAACAGCTTTACTGAGATACAAATCACACATCTGAAGCATACAATCTAATAGTTTTTAGTACATTCCAAGTTGTGCAACCATCACCACCATCAATTTCAGGACATTTCTATTACCTCAAAAGAGACCCCCTTTTCCCCAACCCCCCAGCCCTAAGCAACCACTAATCCACTTTCTGTTGCTGTAAATTTGCCTATTCTGGATTTTTCACACGAGTGCAATCACACACTGTGTGGTCCTTTGTGTCTGGCTGCTTTCACCGAGCATCACGTTTTCAGGGTTCATCCCCGTGGTAGCCTGTGTCAGTCTTTCATTCCTTTCTCTGCTGAATAACATCCCACTGTATGGATGGACAACATTTTACTTATCTATCCTCAGCTGACGGACATTTGGTTGACTTCCACTTTTGACTATTATGCACAACACTGCTATGAGCCCTCACGTCTCAGTTTTCGTGTGGACATGTTTTTCGTCTCTCTGGGGTATATAACTAGGGGTGGAACTGTCCAACACACGTCAACTTTACGCGTAACACTTTGAGGAACTGCCAGACTGTATGCCGAGGTGGCCACACCCTTTCACACCCCCACGGCCAGTGTATGAGGGTCCTGACTGCACCACACCCTCCACATCCCTTTCTCACTGGCACCATCCTAGTGGGTGTGAAGTGGTCTCTCGCGATGGCTTTGATTTCCCCAGATCTATTAACAAGCAGCAACTCTGGGGTCCTTCGGGGATATGAGGCCAGTCAGGCCTGGGATGGCCCCACTGCTGCCGACACTGTGTGACATTAGTAGCTCAACCTTGCAGCCAGCTTCCTCATTTGTCAAACATGTTAGTTCACTGGATTCTTAAAAACATTTATTGACACAATACAGTGAGTACTGCATTAAAGCAAGACACAATTTTTTTGGTTTCCCAGTGCATGTAAGTTATGTTTACACTGTACTATTAAATGTGCAATAGCATTGTCTAAAAAAACAAAGTACACACCTTAATTTAAAAATACTTTACTGCTAAAAAATGGTAACCATCATCCGAGCCTCCAGCGAGTCACAGTAGCAGTAATGTCAAAAACCACTGGTCACAGACCACCATGACAAACATAATAGTGAGAAAGTTTTAAATATTGCCAAAGTTGTCAAAATGTGACAGAGACACCAAGTGAGCAGATCCTGTTGGGAAAAAACGGCGCCAATAAACTTGCTCAATGCAGGGTTGCCACAAACCTTCAATTTGTAAAAAACGTGGTACCTCGAAGTACAATAAAGTGAAGCACAAAAATTCCTAGCACTTTATCAAGAACAAGAGGAGGGCTCAAACAATGTAGCTATTAACAACAATGAAAAAAACCCAGGGCCTTAGGACCTACACCTGTGACTGTGTCTCTTACAGAGAACGGCCAAAGAAACTAAACCATAGGGGCCACAGGATTTTAAGGATTCATTAAAATTACACATCAAGTACCAACATTCTCTTAGAAACTCACTTTCTTCCCATTTTCTCACTTTCTCATTTTCTGGTAGTGGGGGACCCAGGGGAGACCCAAAGAAAGGAAACTTTTCCAAGGAAACAGCCTTTTCAATGACTTGAGGTAGTGTGTAACAGGTCCGCTGGTCAGACCATGAGGATGCTTTATGGGACATTTAGGACGAAAAGGGCAGCCTGTTTAGGATGCAAATGAAACATCAGTGGTCAAAATCAGAGACTCATGAATAGAATGCCCAGAGGGCAACACTATTTTAGCTGCTTCTGCCCTTCCCAATGTTAAAACTTGGCTAGGCCAGTATTTTCCAGCAAAGAGGCCAAGAGTACATCAAATGCCCAAGCAGATGCCCCAGAAAAGAGGAGGAGGAGAATGGGGAGGAGTTGGACAAGGGGCCCAAGCAGACTGAACAGTCACTCTGTTGTAATATGACCATCCTGCCATGGCAACTTCACTCCCAGGGATCTGCTCAAGCCAGCCTGCAGCCACAGGGGGGTACCCAGGGAGGAAGAAGGTGTAAGAATCCTCTGGGCATAGGGAGAAGCAATTCTCCAAGTCTTTGCAACAAGTCCATCACTGACACCTGCAACTTGGCACAAGGGCCACAGGTAAGAGGCTAGTTTAGGAGGCTGAAATGGAGACTTCTCCATGACCTTTGTCCACCAAATTCATTCAGCTTCTGGTATGTCTTCTAATGCTCAGGTAGGGCCTGCCCCCACCTGCACCCACATTTTTTTAAGGATAGGGATATAGGCTGGTCCCTTTGTAGCCTGTACCAACAAAACAAAACAAAACAAAACAAAACACAGCCTTGGTTAAAACCAACACTGTTCAGCGTGATTCTTTTCTGTTGTTAGTAGCTATAACGCCTCTACTTCCTAATTTTTGGTCCATCTACACGCTCTTCTTGGAGGAAAGGGAACTCAGCCCCCTGCCCGCCAAGGTCTGACTCAAGCAGAAAACCAGAGCCTCCTCTACACACACTCAGCATCAACCCTGTGTCCGGGCCGGGCCGGACCCACATCCCTTCCCCTACACCTCCTTTCAAATCTACCACTTCCCCCCTCTACCATTCTGGCTGCAAGCATTACAATAAGTGGAGTCACAGACAGCCCAGCCCAGTTTCAAAACCTATCAAACAGATGGCAAAGGTGTTGAAGATTTAACAATTGTAAGGAATTAAAAAATGGGAAGGGAGAAGAGAGTGAGGAACAGGAAGCAGGCCCCAGCAGCGCGGGTCGCGCTCAGCGCCCAGGCCTTCGTCCTGCCCGGCTCCACAGTGACCCCCGTTCCCGAGACTCCGGCTCCCCGCAGCCGGCCTTCCCCAGTGACCCCTGCCGTCCCGCGGCCCCGAGACCCCGCCCTCCCTCGGAACTTGAGGGGCAGGGCCCGGGACGGCTGCCTCAAGGGTCCCAGCGCCTTCTCCCACCGCGGACGCCGGGCCTTAGACCCCGCGCTCGGGCGCCGCTGCGCCGGGAGCAGGAAGCCCTGCGGCGCGGGCTCGGGGGAAGCGGCGGCGGCGGGGGGAGGTGGGGTTCGGCTGCCTCAGGGCCGCCGCCCGGGCGCTCTTCACCCGCTGCTCGGGTCCGGGGCGGCGCGGCCGGAGAGGAGGAGGGAAGACGCCGAGGAACTTCGGCGGTGGTTTCGGTCACAGGCGGGCGGGGCCCGCCGAGCGGCTGGAAAAGCTTGGGACCCCGGCGCGCGCCCGCGGGAGGAGGCCAGGTGCGGCTGAGTTCCAGCGCGGGGGCTGCACGCGCAGCTCGCCCGAGGACGCCCCCTCCAACTTGACCCGGGCGGCGCGGTCCCCGCCCGGGGTGCGACGCTCCGGCCGCGGGCGCGTCCCCCCACCCCGCCCCTGC